CCCTTCTGAATCGCCTCCATCAAATTTAATATTTCTACTCATCTGCCCATTCCTAACCGTGCACGCTACCTACTCAGCGCCGCATCCTCTTGGCCCTTAGCCCCGTGGGCTTTGCTGAAGAAAAAAAAGAAAAAGAGCCAAGAGGCTTTTCGCGGCCCACAGACTGACCTCCAAGCCCATCATGCCGTTAAGGTGAGAGTCGACGAGGAAAGTGATGTTGTTGTTGGTGAGGTTGAGGAGCCTGAGGTGGCCGAGGCCCCAGAAGGTGTTCTCGCCGATGGCCGGGATGTTGGAGTGCGTGATGTGGACCTCCTCCAGTTTGGGAAGTGTAGCGAAGATCGGGCCGAGGATGAGGGTGTTGGGCTGGTCCTCGGGCGATGTGATAGTCAGGACCTGCGGGGAGAAAGAAGCTCAGACAGGGCGGGCCAACGGCAGGGTACGTGCTGACGCTGGAACAGGGCGCCATGCGAGACAAAACGTGTACATAAAAAATACAGACTGAACAAAACTTTCACTTATTATGAAATTTACTACATCCCTTTCTAAACACACACACACACACACACACACACACACACACACACACACACACACACACACACACACACACACACACACACACGCGGAGAGTGTAGTGCATCGCATCAGTGCATTACATGTTAAATAAAGAGAAGATCGGGCAATGTGTGGTCTAGTCTAGCCATAGGTTCTGTAAATGCGCATAATTCTTGTTAATAGATTTCTTGAGGGGGATATAAAGTGAACGAATAAGTGAACAAATTGAAAAAAAGATAGTGAGCCTTTGTGAAATCAATAAAAAATAAATTATTGTAACAGAGGAATTTAATAGCAAAAATGACTGGGAAAGTTTTGATCCCAGAGCGCAGCCAGATCCGTGGAATGCAAAATTACTAGAAGTCATAAATAAGTATTGCTTTTTTCACAAAGCATAAATATTATATTAAGGATATAAAGTACTACCCTCCTCTACGAAAAGTGACCATGTAGTAATTGAACTAAATGACTGTCTGCTACACAAAAAGGGGAAATACAATTACAAGAGAGGTAATTATAAGAGCCTTTAAGATTTTTTTGATGCCATAAACTAAGAAACACTCCTGGGCGATGAGAACCTCGATATACAATATTCAAATTTTTGCGGACTATAAAAAAGGAGCAGAACTAATTATATCAACATTTGAAACTGAAGCAAGAAATGGTCAAAAGCGGTTCAATGATTAATGCAAGAAAATCAGAAAGAATAAGCAGTTCCTTTGGGAAAGGTTCTGAAGACATAGGTCTCAGGCAGCGTATGAAATTTACGAGGAAGAAATGAGACTATGAAATTAGACTTTGAAAAGAATAAAACCATTAAAGTATACAAATCAACCAAAGCCCTTCTTTAACTACATTAATAGTGAGACTAAAAGTAGATATCAAATTAGCGCCAACGGTTATACTAAGATGTATGAAATGTATGAAATTTCAGGCAGTGTTTATTCAGGATTCATACTTTGAAATGGCAAATAACCGTGCAAACGTACATCAGCATATCGAAAATATCACACACAAAAAGAAAAGGGTTAGACAAAACTGAAGCAGAGGGACCAGATGAGATTTCTAATGGGTTCTTAGGGAATGTGCCGAAGAGCTATGTACTCCGTTATTGTTAATATTCCAAATTTCAGTGAAGCAAGGAAAACTACCAAAATATTGGAAACTTGCTAACATTACACCTTTATATACGAGCTGCGACAAACAAAACCCACTAAATTATAGACCATTTCCGTTAACCAGTGTAGTATGTAAGCTGCTAGAAAGGATAAATAGGAAACAGTGGGTTAAATTACCCGAAAATACACGAAATCATATCATATAAGCCTTTTAGTTTGAGAGAAGAAATGAAATTCTTGGAGTGAAAGGCAAATCCTTATGAAAGACACACACACACTAATGTTCTTTTGTGAACATTAGAGTGAAGCATTCTACATTGAGACGAGTAACTCCCGGAGTATCTCAAAGTTATCTGAATATGTTTGCTGACGACACGAAAAAAAGGGATAACGGACGACGTCTCATGCCAATCTCTCCGAAGTAACATCGAAAACTTATTCATGTGAAGTTGCACTTTGAAAATGGAATTCAGCAACTATAAATATCGTGTAGTCTGGTTCAGGGAAAGTAAAAATTGTCCACTCTCTCTCTCTAGGTGCCATATCCTTTCAGGGCGTAGGCGACCATGGTTTTCCACAGCTTTCTGTCCTTTGTTGTTTGCAGTAGTTCTTGCTCACTCATTCTTTCTTTATTATCATCTGGTGTTTGTTCCATCATCAATTTATCGTTACCTTCCTCTGCTTCTCTTTCTTTCAATGTATCTGGTGAGAGTCAGGTGTTCCTTCCTTCTTCATCATGTGCCCTGGCAATGTGAGCTGTCTTTTCCGGTTCCTTTCTGCTCCTGCTTTTCTTAAAACGTCTTCATTTGTTTCATGTTCTGTGCATG